AATACTTTTAAATAATAAAAACAATTATAAGTTATAAAATTAAAACTTATTCATATCACATTTTATCTTGTTTATAATTATTAACAAAATAATCTTATAGCAGATTTCACATTCAGTCTAAGCATTCATAAAATTCAAAAAATTATTATAATAAAGAATAAGTCAATTTTATATTATCTCAGAGATAATAATGATGAATATTCTCTAAAGTGGGAGTTTGTATGTGAAGAGCTCATGCATATAGATCTAGAAAAACTTCAGTATCTGTCTCAGAGTATATTGGAAGAAAATATTCACTTCAGATCTGTTAATTTTATTTGTATTATTAATAAAATAATCAAGACTCAACAATATGCTGAGAAGCGTGACAGAAAATATCTTGATAAAACTGGCCAAATAAATGATTTTGATATATATCTCTGATCATGTAGAAACAGAAACTATCAGTAAAAATATTCATATCTGTTAATAGCTACAAAATTTAAATAGTGTTCAATTTGCTTCTATCATAATAATGAGCAGAGATATAGATATATTTTTGAGGATCTGTTGGATAAGAAATTTCCATCTTATAAATCATCATTTTTGAATGGGATGCAATTAGATGGGTATAATAAAGAGCTAAAATTAGTATTCAAATTCCAGGAGCCTTAGTATTTTTCTGAGAATTCAATATTCTATAAGTGAGACAAGATAGACTTAAATAGTTAATAGATACGTGACTAAAAAAGTGAGATATATGTAAAAGAGAGAGTATAGATCTTATTTGTATCCTGTTCAATTGTGATTTATTTCCTTATATTAAAAGTAAATTGCTTAAAAAAGGATATTTGAAAAATACAGATATTAATGAACATGATAATTGATATTATCTCATTAGCTAATAATATCATACTCTGAGGAGCATAGCTCTTTTTTTCAAAAATCTAATTGCGATGAGATATTCAGATATCTTACTATTGGTACTAATGGAATATCTTTGAATTTATATTAAAGATGCATTATGATTTTATTAGTAATATCATGAGGAATATTTAAAAAAACTTTTTCACATTCTTTCCATATTACATATATTAATCATCCAATATATATTAATCAATCATCTTTACCATTATATCCAGTATGGAGCAAGAAATAAAAATTATCTAATACAATATTGGTTGCCATTCTTTGATCTGTAATAATTTTTTGAAATAGCCATTTATCTCTCTCTGTTTCTGAAAAACAAATCTCATCAGATTTGAAACCTATAAATTCAGAAAGTTGTTCATGAAGTTTTGTTATTTTATATTTATTATATAATATTCTTCAAGAACTCAGATCTTATAGAATAAAAGTAAAACTTTAAATACTTATCTGGTTCGATTAATTAATATTTTTTTTCAATATAATAGATTAGTACTACTTAGTTTGAATAAGATGAAAGATAAAAGCATGCCCATATATATATATAATATCAATAAGACATCTAAAAAGTCATCAGAATGAATGAAAGGTAATAAGTTTTCATCAGATTACCTATTTAGAATGCTTATAAATAGAAGCTCAAATAGTGAAAAAACTAATATAAAAATAAATCTCATACTTGGTAAGAAACTATAATATATATTTAATGGAAAAAAAGGTGAATGATATATTAGAAATGATGATTTTAGATTAGTAGCCAAACATTTTGAATCAAAATGGCAACTTATATAAAATAGCTATTAGATCTTTGCAAATGCTCCAAAACTATATTAAGAAGATATTACATTTAAATGAATATTATTAGATAAGATTCCAGATATAACTAAATTCTTTCCAGAATGAAGTACAGTTATTATTTTTAAGAATCTATGTACCGAATCCAAAAAAGTGCAAGAATAAATTATTTCTTACTTCATTAGTGGCCAGCATCAAAATGTCTTGCCTATATATGTGAGCCAGAAATATACACAAACACCTAAAATTATTCATGAAAATATTTCACATTTATGCCTATTTTAGGAATTGGATAGTAGAGATGATATTAGTAGAATCATATATCAATATACAGATAATTCAAAAAAAGTATTCAAGATTATTGATAAGCATTTGCAGGATTAAGAATTCATGATTTTTGATTTTACCAAGGCAGTGAATGATTCACTTGCTATTAGATTGGGTTGGGATACACCCTTAAATCTTATGTGATTTCAGATATTTTAGGAATTTTTCTGTCTCTTGCAATTCTATCTTCTTTTTTTCAATTTCACATCATAACTTCTTATTTTCATTAATCCACTTTTCATGCTCTATAGTAATTTTTTGCATAAATTCTTTTTTCTCTCTAGTTCAGAAAAAGGGAAATAGTTATTCTATCTATTAACTATATGTTTTTGATACTAGCTTTACCATTACCTGCTAACTATATATTTCTGGCTTCAAGTAATTAATTACAAGAAGGTGGATTTTTTTGTTGTATTCCAATAATCGCTAAAATAAAATATTGACCTCTTTCTTAATCTGGTAATTGATCTCATCCTCATATGTGAAGCAAGGATACCTATATGTCTGATCACATAAACAAATTGGAATAGTATCTTGGATTTGGGATTCTTGATTAACCATATCTATATTATTGAATAAATTTTCAAGTGGTGATGAACTTCTGCATTGGTATTATTTCTTTCTATTATAAACTATAATTTCATGTTGCAAAAATCTTTAATACCTAGATCTATACTACATGTCTCCACTTCTGTAAAAGGATTGCGTTTTCTTATAGTAAGACGTCTCCATGACTCTTCTACTAATGAGGGAGGTAATTGTTTTATTAACTCTGAATATGCTTGATTGAATTTCATTTTGATATATCCCATTAAAAATTCTGTCAAATTTTATAGAATCGTGAAAAAGTTTGTAATTTAAAACAAAAAAAAATATTACCAGCCCTCAGGAATATCTTAGATGATTTCTGCTTCTGAACCTAATTTATACAAATTTTGATATTATTGTATTATATAACATTTATTAGTGGAACTAGTTAATATGTGCAGATTGAATAGTCCGATTTTATATAAGTTTCACTGGTATTTAAATCATAATAATAATCTTCATCATCATTATTAGAAAATCCACAGAACCCATCATTATCTTCCTCTTTGTTGTTATCGGAGAATTCATTATCATTTTCATTATTGACATTATCAACATCAGAGGAATCCAAATTAAAATCTAAGGAATTATCAGGTATACTTACCTCTTCCTTGGGTAAAGATTCCTTTTTCTTACCCACCTCATATTTTGAATTGCAGGAGGCAGACACAGAATGACTAGCCTCTTTCTTCTCGAAAGCTTCCATGACCATTTTATCAAAATCATCCTCAGCTTTGGGTGAATTAACTGGACTGAATTTTGAGGAATTATCTGAAGAATTAGAGATGTGTGTTAAAGGAATAGGTGCGGTTGATATGTTTACTTCAGCTAAAACTGCTTCCGATGAATTAGTCTGATCATTTGAAACCTCCTCTTCGGAATCTATGATAGAGTCATCCTGTTTATCTGGTAATTCAGTGTTGAGATTCTTGGAGAAGTAATTAATAATAGTTTGAATTTTACTATCGGATAATTCTGCAATAGAAT